TAGATCTGCATATTTCCATGTAGATCAGGCATATATCAGGCAGAATGCATGTGTCTAAAGAAAATAAAAACAGTCATGAGAAGTTTGCACCAAAGGACTATTTAACAGCTGGTTACTAGTAACGCCTCATAAATGACAGATATCGTTATATAAGAGTGATTTTGTGAAACTGTTGCTGTGCAGTAAATAAACATGACTGGATGAGAATAGAGATGATGTGCAGCTTTCACTCAGTGTTCTGGATGGACGTATTCATCAATGTGTGTGCACATGCATCATAAACACAAACTCAATCAGCTCTCACTCACAGCAACTACACTCTTTGACCAACGACATACAGTCATACAAATATGAAAATAATGCACTCAGGTGCAGGTAAACAAGTAAAGCTTCACTTTTTGTCAACAGCACTTACAACTGAAAACTGAAGTTTTTTTTCCCAGAATAGTGAGTTTACACCTCACAATTCTACATTTACTTCTTGCAATTCTAAGTTTACACCTCACAATTCTAAGTTTAGACCTTAGAAAATTCTAAGTTTAGACCTCTTAGAAAATTCTAAGTTTACGCCTTACAATTCTAAGTTTACACCTCGCAATTCTAGATTTACGTCTCGGAATTCTAAGTTTACACCTCGCAATTCTAGATTTACGTCTCGGAATTCTAAGTTTACGCCTCGCAACGTCTCGCAATTCTAAGTTTACGCCTCGCAATTAAGTTTACGTCTTGCAATTCTAAGTTTACATCTCACAATTCTAAGTTTCCCCTGATGCAATTCAAAATGTACGCCTCGCAATTCTAAGTTCACGCCTCACAATTCTAAGTTTACGCCTCGCAATTCTAAATGTATGTCTTGCAATTCTAAGTTTACACCTCGCAATTCTAAGTTTACACCTCGCAATTCTAAGTTTATGCCTCGCAATTCTAGATTTACATCTCGCAATTCTAAGTTTACACCTCACAATTCTAAGTTTACACCTCACAATTCTAAGTTTATGCCTCGCAATTCTAAGTTTACACCTCACAATTCTAAGTTTATGCCTCGCAATTCTAGATTTACTTCTCGCAATTCTAAGTTTACACCTCACAATTCTAAGTTTATGCCTCACAATTCTAAGTTTATGCCTCACAATTCTAAGTTTATGCCTCACAATTCTAAGTTTATGCCTCACAATTCTAAGTTTATGCCTCACAATTCTAAGTTTATGCCTCACAATTCTAAGTTTATGCCTCGCAATTCTAGATTTACGTCTCACAATTCTAAGTTTAAGTCTTGCAATTCTAAGTTTACGCCTCGGAATTCTATGTTTATGCCTCGCAATTCTAAGATTACACCTCCCAATTCTAAGTTTACATCTCACAATTCTAAGATTACGCCTCGCAATTCTAAGTTTTCGTCTCGCATTTCTGACTTTGCAATTCTAAGTTTATGCCTCGCAATTCTAGATTTACATCTCGCAATCCTAAGTTTACACCTCGCAATTCTAAATTTATGTCTCGCAATTCTAAGTTTATGCCTCACAATTCTAAGTTTACACCTCACAATTCTAAGTTTACACCTCGCAATTCTAAGTTTATGCCTCGCAATTCTAGATTTACATCTCGCAATTCTAAGTTTACACCTCGCAATTCTAAATTTATGTCTCGCAATTCTAAGTTTATGCCTCGCAATTCTAGATTTACGTCTCACAATTCTAAGTTTAAGTCTTGCAATTCTAAGTTTACACCTCGGAATTCTATGTTTACGCCTCGCAATTAAGTTTACGTCTCGCAATTCTAAGATTACACCTCCCAATTCTAAGTTTACATCTCACAATTCTAAGATTACGCCTCGCAATTCTAAGTTTTCGTCTCGCGATTCTGCCTTTGCGTATCGCGTTTATGACTTTGCGTCTCGCGATTCTGACTTTGCGTATCGCGTTTATGACTTTGCGTCTTGCAATTCAGAATTTGCGTCTCGCAATTCTGACTTTACTCCTCGCAATTCTAAGTTAACGCCTCGCAATTCTAAGTTTTCGTCTCGCGATTCTGCCTTTGCGTATCGCGTTTATGACTTTGCGTCTCGCAATTCTGACTTTACTCCTCGCAATTCTAAGTTAACGCCTCGCAATTCTAAGTTTACGCCTCGCAATTCAGATTTTGCGTCTCGCGTTTCTAACTTTACATCTCACGATTCTTCTGACTTTTTGTGTCTCGGAATTCTGACTATACGTTTCTGAATTCTGCCTTTGCATCTCATGATTCTGACATTTGTTCTCAGAACTGTGAGTTTATATCTCACTATTGCAAGTTAAAAACTCATAATTCTAAATTTACATCTCACAATTTTGACTATTTTCCTCAGAACTGCAAGTTTGTGTCTATCAATTTTCTCAGAACCATTTAAATTCTACGTTAATTTTGGTCATTTTTAATGGATGTATGAAGTCAGTTAACACAGAATCACATGAACTATCAACATGACTCACTAACTAACCACAAACACACACAATACTGTCTTCATCTCCAACATCTATTGATTCAGCATCTAAAACCCAACAAACCCAACAGTGTTTCTGTGCATCTTTCTTTACAATAAACGACTTGATTTTGATCTTTTTGTCACATGCAAGGACATTCAGACAATTTTAAGTGTGCAAATACATTTGTTGTGCCACTGTTGTGTTGTTTGTGCATAAGGACCATATCACTGTCATGCCTGCAGTGGAAATGGGTTCAGAACCAGCGCTAGCCTGATGATACTCAAAGTTTCACTTTTCTGCATGGCAAAGCAAACCAGAAATACACACACCAAAGTCTTTACAAAACCACCAACAAACATGGCAACGCAGACGAGGCGCTCGCCCACACAGTGATGAGCCATTAGCACACTTCACAAAAGCCCAAATATCAACCTGAATTCATCAACGACTGCGAGTGTGATGATGCCTTTATATAATAGGTCTGTAAACAAGAAGTTCAAGTCAACATGAAACGCTATTCACAACCCAATTTATTTCCATAATTTTCAAATTAGCATGATCTGCTTCTGTAATAGAAATATTTCTGAGTGAAAAATGATATTTAACAATACAAAAAGTAGAGCGAGACTTTGGAAATTGACTTGTAAAAGTGGCCTTTATATGCCAGGTAATGCAAGGAAACAGAAAGAGGACTTCATTGAGAAAGCTATTACGTTTTGATGAAAGATTATGAAAATAACCATTTCTTTGAACTTGAAGAAATGTACAGAATAATGCTTGTAATATAATAATATCAGGAATGTTCACCGCAACATGTTGACTAATATCAAGTTACTGATGTTTCAGACACAATATTGCAAGATTTTTTATTTGCTTTTGCGGTAACACTTTACAATAAGATACAATACAATAAAAAATTAATAAATACTGAACCATAATTGCTCATTGTTTATGTTAATTCATTAAGTAATGAGACTTTATTGTAAAGTGTTACAGTTTGTGTTTAAGTTTGTTTAGGTTACCTTTTATTTGATTGCTTTAACCATTTTTGCTTTGATTGCTTTGTATTTTTTATTCTTCTATTTCACCGTGTAGTGCCTTAAGAAGCTACAATAAAGTCTATAGCCATCAAATAAAGGTTATTATTATTATTATTAATGTTATCAAATTGGACTAAAACTTACTGTCTTCACTCACACTCACACACATAATCAAAAGATTATTTTTGCACTTTTTGGGGGATTTTTCCCCTACATTGTTACACTTGGTGTTGTTTCAAAAATGATTGGCTTACAAAACGTCTATCATTATGCTATATTATTACCAAATCTTGAATTCAATCTTTTTATCAACTTATTTTCTTTCAGCTAGCAGCAGGTTTTGTATTGCTTTATGGCGCTCACTGACTGTAGGCCTCATTGATCTGAGCTCATCCACCTAATTTTTAAAGTGAATATTGCCAAAATTATTCACAAAATTCACACCAAAGCTCAGATCGATGAAGCCTACAATCAATCAGCTCCAAAAAGAAACACAAAACCTGTAAAAAACTGAATCCAAGATCTGGTAATAATACAGCATTATGAGAGATTTGCAAGCAATTTTTTAAAAGCCAGTCATTTTTGATCAGGAACACTAAATCAGGTAATCAATAAATTATTGATTTTAAGTTGAGTGCTATTGATTTTTTTGAAGTTGAAAATGATTGATTTTGATTGAGTTAATAAAAAAAAGAATTCAAAAAGACACCAAAATTTGATGATATCCGTATTACTATATAATCCTTAATATTGATATTAACAGTAATTCTTACATTTAATTGCATGATGCATGAAGTTATAAAGAGTGTTGGGGAGTAACTAGTTACATGTAACGGAATTACGTAATTTAATTACAAAATAAATGTAACTGGGTAACACTTTATTTTAAGGTGTATTTGTTACATGTTACATGTACTTACTATTATAATAACAATTAATTATGCATAATTACATGCAAGTAACCTTAAGCCAAACCCTAACCATATATAGTAAGTACATGTAGTTAATTAGTATTACTCAGTACTTAAATATATAATTACTCGGTAACAAGGACACCTTGAAATAAAGTGTAAGCTGTAACTGTAATTTGTTATGCAAATGCATTTGTTAACTACACAAAGATTTGATTTCAAAATCAGTATCATAGCTATTAAACTATCTTGTTATGGTTTTAAATCTGTATTTAACCTCAGAGCGAAAAAGAGGTAAAGTCTGATTTTGTGGTGTCTGTGCTTTAAAATAAAATGTTTCTAATCTTAATTCAAGTGATGAAGGATCTTTAAAATCTGACAGTAATCAGTGTTAAGTGCTACTGTAAGGTTAACACTGCCTGCTTTAAGTGTTTCAAAATGATTAACAGTTGAAAATATTTGTTAGACCGACAGCTGCGGAAATTAAATCAGCGCACATCGATATGGAGTTATCGGAGCGATCTAATGCGGAGTGAGCAGGACCGTTCATGTCTGCAGCTGTTTTAGGAGATGATGGATCCACTTACTTTCCTGTAGACCAGCATGTTTGGAGACTCGTCAGCCACACCGTTACTGCTCTGAGCACACGAGCTCGGCTGAGCCATACTGGAGCAGAGGAACAACACCGGATACTCCTGACCCACAGACCGAGAGAGAGAGAGACGGATTACAGACAGACAGCTGGAGCCATAGAACAATGGATGGATGGATAGAGAGACAGACAATAAATAGAAACAATGAACGACAGAACATCAAACTGACAATGACAAACGACAATGACGACGGACGGACGGACGGACAGACAGACAGAGAGACAGACAGACAGAAACAATGACAGACAGACAGACAGACAGTTAGATAGATAGAAATACAGACAGACAGACAGACAGATAGATAGATAGATAGATAGATAGATAGATAGATAGATAGATAGATAGATAGATAGATAGATAGATAGATAGATACTACGTCAGTGAGAGACATAGACAGATAGATAGATAGATAGATAGATAGATAGATAGATAGATAGATAGATAGATAGATAGATAGATAGATACTAAGTCAGAGAGAGACATAGACAGATAGATAGATAGATAGATAGATAGATAGATAGATAGATAGATAGATAGATAGATAGATAGATAGATAGATAGATAGATAGATAGATACTACGTCAGTGAGAGACATAGACAGATAGATAGATAGATAGATAGATAGATAGATAGATAGATAGATAGATAGATAGATAGATAGATAGATACTAAGTCAGAGAGAGACATAGACAGATAGATAGATAGATAGATAGATAGATAGATAGATAGATAGATAGATAGATAGATAGATAGATAGATAGATAGATAGATAGATAGATACTACGTCAGTGAGAGACATAGACAGATAGATAGATAGATAGATAGATAGATAGATAGATAGATAGATAGATAGATAGATAGATAGATAGATACTACGTCAGTGAGAGACATAGACAGATAGATAGATAGATAGATAGATAGATAGATAGATAGATAGATAGATAGATAGATAGATAGATAGTTAGATAGATAGACAGACAGACAGACCGACAGACAGACAGATAGATAGACAGACGATAGATAGTTAGATAGACAGACAGACAGATAGATAGTTAGATAGATAGATAGATAGACAGACAGATATAGATAGATAGATAGTTAGATAGATAGACAGATAGACA